GTATGATTTCTTGCTCAGTTGTACTGTTGTAGATCTTAGTTATACCACACACATCATCATATATGGCCTTGTATTATAGTTCATTGGCATATATGTCTTTAGCTCCCAATAGAATATTATCACGATGGATAATGTGTTTGTAGCACTTATAGTTCCTTTTATATGGAAGGCACTCAATATAGATTTGTTGAATGTTTGTTATTTCTTGATATAATGAGATGTATATTTCATTAATTTAAACAATCAGTTGTGAAGTGGCAAATGTAGACACATTTTTCCTTTTTTTTTAGAGTTCTTGGAGCCATATGGAAGATAATAAAAGGTTTCATTATTTGGCTTCTGCATATTAATGTAGTTGTTGTTCTTTTGTCTCTAAAAATATGAGTCAGATACCCTCAGTAGAGCATTCGTTCTGAACAGATGTGTGCATGTGGGTCTTCCTTAAGTAAGATAGTGTTTGTGTGATCTCTGCTTATACTTTTGAAGATGCAACTCCTGCTGGTGCCCATAGTGAAGGTGACATAGTCATGTGCTACAGCAGTGTTTGTAGGGTAAGGGATGGTTAGACTTCGCATCAAAAGGAAAGGAGTCACACCGTTTTAGACTAAGCACTGAAATGTTTTTAGAAAGAACTTCTATTACAGATATTTTCAAACATATACGTGGGCAAACATATGGAAAATTTAATGGAATAGCTGTGTAATGAATCTGCATGTACCTGCCACTCAGATTTAATCCTTATCTGCATGTACTTCACTGTGCTCCTCTCCTGGACTACTTTGAAAATGTATGTCAGACATTTTTTATTTTGTCTGTAAATACTTATATATTTATTTACATGTAAATATATGGAACCTTATAAGTGCTTGGAACTTTTCTAGGCTCTTGGGATACATGGCTGGATAAAATAAACCATGCCCTTACATTCTAGCATGGAGAGACAGAAAATACACTAGACACATACATAACAAAAACAGGAAAAACTTTGATTTCATCAAAATTTAAAGCTTCTATTTATCAAAGACATCATTAATAAAATGAAAAAGGAGAAAATATTTGCAAAACACCTATTTGACAAAGGATTTATATCCAGAATATGTAAGTAGCCCAATAATAAACTGAACAACTGAATCGAGAAGTAAGAGGCTAAAAAAGCACGTAAGAAGGCATCCAGCACTGTCGCTAGTCACCAGGGAAATGCACATTAAAACCACGTACACCCACTTAGAGTGACTGAAATTTGAAAGACTGACATCAGATGTTGAAGAAGATGTGGATCAGCCAAAATACCTATGTATTGCTGGTGGAAATGTGAATCAGTCAACTGCTTTGAAAACTAGCCAAGCAGTTTCCCATAAAGGTAAAACATGAATCTACCCTGTAACCCGGTAATGCCACTTCTGGTATTCACACAATGAATTTTTTTGTTTGTAAAATGTGTACAAGAATATTCCTAGTGGCTTTATCATAACAGCAACAACAGCAAACAGCTCAGGTGTCCATCAGCAGAATTGTGTTATATCTCTATCTACAGTGTAATACTACTCAGCAGTGGAATGGAATACACTTCTGACACATGCAAAACAAGCATCATGCTGAGCAGAAGAAGCCAGACCCCTTTGCACACGCAAAGCATATTGCATGATCCCATTTGTATGAACTTCTAGAACAGGCAAAATGAATCTGTGGTGGAAGAATTCTGAATCGTGGTTGCTGGTGAGGGGTGCATGTGTGGGTGGGTTGCCAGGGACTGACTGTGAAGTGGTGTGAGTCACTGGAAAGATGGCAGAGCTCTGGTTTCTGTCAGGGGTATGTGGCAGGGGCCCTCTGCACATCTCTTGGCTTCTCTTTCTTTACACTTCTCTCCTCTCCTTGCTTTGCTGCTCAACTCAGCTCCCCCTGTTTGGGCTGTGGCCCGGGTAATTTCTCTAGGGAGCAAACTGGGGCTCACCTGGTTTCTCTCAGGGATCACTGTCCTTTGGTGCCTGATGTCCACTCTTGTACTGTTGCTTCATAGATTTTCTCTTTCTCTCTCTTTTTTTTTAGTTTTTTCAGGCATGAGAGTAAATCCAGTCTCTGTGACTCCCTCTTGACAAGAAGTGGCTGTCCTGGATTGGACAATATGTCTGTTTTTAAAAATATATTGTCTCTTGTCTCCCTTATTCCAGTGTAAGCTCTCGGAGGACAGAGATTTTGTGGTGGTGTTGCTGTGTGTCCAGCATCTAAAACCAAGAATACTTGGCATATCATGGGCTCTAAGTGAAAGTTTTGGAAGGGATGTATGATTCTTTCATTCTTATTTCCTTTCCTCCTTTTACTCTTCTATTGCAAATGTGAATAACAAAACCAGTGTTTTATCTAAACGAGCATTTTCTAAAGGGTCCCTTGGAAAACCAGTCTCTTGATTTTTTTTTTATAAACAAAGGGCTCTGTAATGAAATAAGGATGAGAAATGATTATGTACTGAGAAATCCTGTGGTAAAGAAAACTTTGTTCGGGCCAGAGTTTTCTAAACTTACTTGACCAGGGATATTTTTCCCCCAAAAGCACCTATTAATTTCTTATATAATTTATATTTTCTGGAACACATTCTTTTAAAAAAAAATTATTTATTATTATTATTTTTACATTCTAAGATGTTGTGGAGCAGTTGCGGGGGAGGTGAATAGTAAAAAGAGGAGGAGGGTAGGGTGGGAGGAGGAGAAAGGGAGGGCGTGGTTGAGCCCTGCAGCACCCTCCTCATTCCTGTAGGGGAGCCCAGGGAACTTCTGGCAGTGGTTTGGTTGTGTAGGGTGGGAGGAGGAGAAAGGGAGGGCGTGGTTGAGCCCTGCAGCACCCTCCTCATTCCTGCAGGGGAGCCCAGGGAACTTCTGGCAGTGGTTTGGTTGTGGCTGGGCTGGATGCGGACTTCGGAGTTGGGGGGTGGCTGAGTCCCTCGTCACCCCCCCAACACATTCTGAAGCTTTTTGGCTATCATGAATAGTACTGCTATAAACATTTGTGTACCAGTTTTTGTGTGGATATATGTTTTTATTTCTCTTGAGTATATATACCTAGGAGTAGAATTGCTGGGCTTTATGGCAGCTCCATGTTTTATCATTTGAAGAACTGGCAGACTATTTCAGAGCGGCTGCACCATCTTACGTTCCCACTAGCAGCACATGAGGGTTCCAGTTTCTCCATACCCTCGCCAGTGCCTGTTATGGGGCTTTTTGGTTATACCTTTCCTAGTGGGTTTGAAGTGGTATCTCATGGTTTTGATTTGCATTTCTCTAGTGACTAATGATGTATCTTTTCATGTGCTCTTTGGCCACTTGCGTATTTTCCTTAGAGAAATTTTTATTCAGATTCTCTGTTCATTTAAAATTTTTATTATTCAGCTGCAAAATTTCTTTATATATTCTAGATGCAAGTCTCTTATCAGATATATGATTTGCAAAATATTTTTCCCATTCTGTGGTATGGTGGCCTTTGAAGCATAGTGTTCTTTGAAGGTTTTAATTTTTTTTTTCTTTGTTGTGACCGGTAAGGGGATAGCAACCCTTGGATTGGTGTCGCCCGCACCGCGCTCAGCCAGTGAGCGCACTGGCCATCCCTATATAGGATCCAAACCTGCAGCGGGGCGGGAGTGCCCCTGCGCTCCCAGCGCCGTACCCTCCCGAGTGAGCCACGGGGTCAGCCCGAAGGTTTTAATTTTTTTTTTCTTTGTTGTGACCGGTAAGGGGATAGCAACCCTTGGATTGGTGTCGCCCGCACCGCGCTCAGCCAGTGAGCGCACTGGCCATCCCTATATAGGATCCAAACCTGCAGCGGGGCGGGAGTGCCCCTGCGCTCCCAGCGCCGTACCCTCCCGAGTGAGCCACGGGGTCAGCCCGAAGGTTTTAATTTTGATGAAGTTCAATTTACCTTATTTTTTTCTTCTGTTATTTTTGCTTTTGGTGTCATAGCATACATATATATATACATATATATGTATATATTCCCTACTTTTAGCGGAGTCAAAGCAGCAGGCTTCCTTTGATTTGTCATTGTTATGGGAAAAAACAGTTAAAAAAGTTAAAAATGGCTGTTATTAGCTTTGAGGCCATATACATTGATGACTTTTCATTAACATCAAATTAAACGGCATTTGGCTGAAAATTCCAATCATGGCATAAAGTAAATGGAAAATGATATGTTTTAATTGAATTAAATAGCATAATGAAAAATAAAATCAATATTATTGATTTTAAACCATTTTATTTAATAAAATTCTTTTTTTTCCTCAAAATTTACTCCATTAATTCTACTCTACCACTGACATTTCCCTTTGCCGTTAACCTTCAGACAACATAAAATGACTGGTAGATGAGGAAATTAGTGATTGACAACTGGAATAGGAGGGGCTTTCCATTGGCAAAAGAGCTTGAGCGTGAATGGTGGTATGTGATGAGATTATATATGTTGTTAATTGGTATGTGTTTAGAAAAATCATGGTGAGGCTCTTCACTTTAGGGGTAAGGATGAAGCAGTTTTTAAATTGTGTTTCTTTTACATTTGGACTTGAGCTTCTTTGGGGAGGCTAAAGAGGAAAAAGCCTAACTTCCAGACTTCACAGCAGTTTGTTTTTATCTGCTTTACAGCATGGGAGTTCACCAAACTGTGATTTGAAAAGACAGCTTCTCTGTTAAAACAAAAACAAAAGCATAGTATATTGAAATATTCTGGTATAGAGAATTGTAACGATGGAGTTTTTCTGTGAGCTCATTGAGAGAATCACTTTTTCTATCAAAATACCAAAGTATCATAGTATTGCTTCCTGAGTTGGCAATGAAACGGTATAGTGTTCCCAAGATATGATTTCATACTTTTCATAAAGGACATATATGTGATCAAATTTATCTTAATATAAACGACACTTCATTGAGGCTAATTTAATGATATATTTTCATCTTGTTTCAGGCTAATATGTGTCTTTCTTTATGATCAAAGGTTTGATACCATGTTTGTTTATTTCACAGGTTATGAGTGCTGAGTGAGCCACCTTTGACACGAGAAACATCATCAGCACTTTATTATTAGTGATGGATACTGAGAATAAACCTGAGAATGATGAGGATGAAAATATAAACAAAGCAGCCAAAGACTTGAGAACTATTTCACAGGCCCATAATGAAAATTGTGAGCCTGTATCTGATGTGATAGCACATCCCTCAGAGAATTCCACTAGCAAAAGAGGTTTTTCAGAATCATCCAACTTTGACAGTGTTGTAGAGGAAAACACAGATAAACATGCTTCCAAACGAATTAAATTAGATGAAGCAGAGCCCCTTAAATCTGGAGAGCAGGGCATTCCTGGACTAGCACCTTCTGAGAGCTCGGTCACAGCAGTAGGGAACCTATTGGATGACACAGGGAAGGAGGCATTCCTGAATGACTGCTCAGGTGGAGGCACGCATCCTCCTAATACCTTCTCCCCTGCTTGCGGTTTTAGCACTATTGAGGCTGTTTCTCTGAAAACAGACTCTGGAAACAAGTCTGCTCAAGAAATGGTTTCCCTTGATCTGGAAGGAGAATCTCCTTTTCCCCTGAAGGAAATTAGTGGTAGTCGTACCATCGGAAACGTAGACACAGTTCTCAAGTGCTGCATGTGTGGCCATTTGTTTTCTTCTTGCTGTGATTTGGAAAAACATGCTGAGGGTCACGTGCAACAGTCTGAGGAATGTACCTGCTGCCCCTGCAGCCACAGAGCAGAGAGCAGCTCAGCTCTACCTGTGCACGTCCAACAGACACATGGGCCACAGAAGGTCTTTTCTTGTGATCTTTGTGGCTTTCAGTGTGTGGAAGAAAACCTGTTGAATGCACATTATCTTGGCAAAACACATCTCCGGCGTCAGAATCTTGCTGCTCGTGGAGGATTTGTACAGATCTTAACAAAACAACCTTTTCCTAAAAAACCATGTACTATAGGAACAAAAAATGTTGGAGCAAAACCAAGAGCTTCTAAACCGATAGCAAAGAATAGTGATTCAAAAGGATTACGAAATATTGGGAGCAAATTTAAAGATTTCGGAGGAAGCATTTCTAAACAAAGTGGTAGTAGCAATGAGCTTCTTGTTGAAATGATGCCATCCCGGAATACTTCATCAGAAAAACTAGAGATTGTTGAAGAAAATGTTACTTCCCTAGGTATTGCTCAAAATCCTGAAAACCAGAAGTAGCAATGAGCTTCTTGTTGAAATGATGCCATCCCGGAATACTTCATCAGAAAAACTAGAGGTTGTTGAAGAAAATGTTACTTCCCTAGGTATTGCTCAAAATCCTGAAAACCAGAGTAAAAAGCTAGCAGCCTTAGTAACCACAGAGGGTCTCTTAGATAAATTAGAATCTACCAAAAATGCCCTACAGACAACACACACTACCAGTATCGCGCTGAGACCAAGACCTGAGCGAAATATTCTAATGTTGGGTAATAGTTTTCGACGACGAAGTGGTACTTTCACCTTAAAGGGCCAGGCAAAGAAAAGGTTTAATCTTTTAGGAATTAATAAAAGAGTCACAAATGAAACTCAGAGGATGTATACAAAACACTTGAGAATGCAGATGAAAACCAGCAATGCAGAGTCAACTCCTAAACGTGTAGAAATGAGCAGCAATGTCCAGAGTCTATGTTCGACTACCTCAGAAACCCAGGAACCAAAGCAGGACAAGAGAAACTCCCATCTCCTGGGCTCCATGCAGCTGGACTCCCTGGCAATGAAGCCAGCTTCTGACCATCAGATGTTGTGTACTTGTACAGATTGTGGTCAAATAGCTACAAATAGGACGGATTTGGAAATCCATGTGAAAAGGTGCCATGCAAGAGAGATGAAATTTTACTGCCAGACTTGTGACTTTTCTAGTATGTCAAGGAGGGACGTAGATGAACATTTACACAATAACCAGCATCAGCAACCTGCTTCTGTCCTTAGTTGTCAGTGTTGTTCATTTATTTCCTTGAGTGGAATAAATCTTAGAGACCACATGAAGGAAAAGCACAGCATGGATTTTCTTTGCATCCCTTGTAATCTGTTTTTCTTGTCTGAGAAAGACATGGAAAAACACAAAACAACCGAGAAGCATGTTAGTTTATTGTCTCAACCAAAGACTTCTCAGTCATTTAACAGTGATTTGGTTTTACAGACTTTACCTTTAAGTACTTTAGAATCAGAAAACACAAACAATTCTGTGAATGAGTCAGGCAGAACAGCCCAGGAAGGACCTGTTAAGTCCAGGGTAAGCCATGGAAGTGAAGTAAGGCATTCAAGTAAGCCTCAGTTTCAGTGCAAGAAGTGTTTTTATAAAACAAGATCTTCCACTGTTCTCACAAGACATATAAAGCTTCGGCATGGTCAAGACTATCACTTTCTTTGTAAAGCATGTAATCTCTATTCATTGAGCAAAGAAGGAATGGAGAAGCATATTAAGAGAAGCAAACATCTTGAAAATGCTAAGAAAAATAATATTGGCCTAAGCTTTGAAGAATGTATCGAGAGGGTATGTATAGGTGCAAATGATAAAAAAGAAGAGTTTAATATTTCTGAAAATGGAAGGATTGAAGGCCATGTGGGTGTGCAATTACAGGAGCATTCCTATCTTGAGAAGAGCATGCTGTCTCCTAAGGAACTGTCACAGTCTGGTGTTATCACCAAAGGTGATGAATTAGCTTTGACCACTACTCCAAAGAGAGGGAGACCTAAAGGTAACATCTCACGGACATGTTCACACTGTGGTCTTTTGGCCTCTAGTATTACAAACTTGACTGTTCACATTAGACGAAAACACAGTCACCAGTATAGTTATTTATGCAAAGTGTGTAAGTATTATACTGTAACTAAAGGAGATATGGAACGTCATTGTGCCACCAAGAAACATAAAGGAAGGGTAGAAATAGAAGCAAATGGAAAAAAAAGTCTGGATATCATTGTTGGCCCAGAAGGGGGTAATCTTGAAGCCTGTAAAAAGAACAGCAGTTCCACAGTGATCATTTCACATGAACATGCTAACAAGTCAGCTGAGTCAGATACTTCCATTTTAGAAAAGCCAGTAGTACATCATGGAAATTCAGGTGAAGTCGAAGTTGCAAATGTTTTTCATTCTGTAGATGGGGAAGTTAACAGTCATCTTACTGATAAAAAGGAACAAATCTCTCTAGAGCCAGAGGACCTTCTGTCACAGGGGGATGCACATTCCCAGAGAGATGTTACAGGTCACAGTGACAATAAATGTATACACTGTGAGTTTAATGCTCACTCTTCTGCTTCTCTAGAGCTGCATGTAAAACGAAAGCATACAAAAGAGTTTGAGTTTTACTGCATGGCATGTCATTACTATGCAGTGACTCGTCGAGAGATGACCAGGCATGCAGCAACAGACAAACACAAAATGAAAAGGCAGTCTTATCTCAGCTCTTCTAATGTAGAAGCAGGTTCTCCAGAAATATCCAAAAACATTATACCCGAAGAGGAGCATCAACAAAATTCTGAGGATTTTCAGATAAATTCAGATCAACCATCTGATACCCTTAAATCTGGGAATGCTGCTGATTGTTCTATTTTAGATGAGAACACTAATTTAGATATGCCAAAAGTACTCTGTGCTCCTGACTCCGTGGAGATTGAGACTGAAGAAGAATCTAATTTCAGTGAAGATCGTTCCTTTTGTGAGGCTTTCCAACAGCCTCCCATCAAGGACAAAGTTATGAAACCTGAGGAGATGGTGGCCCTTAATATTTCCTCTAATTACGGCTCCCCAAGCAGATTTCGAAATGAAAATTCAGGAAGCTCAGTTTTGAATTGTGAGACAGCAAAGAAGAACCACGACGTGTTGAATGATGTTGGTGATCCAAACATACGTTGTGTGAGCCATGGAAGAACAGCAGGAGTTAGTGGAGGTAAAGTACTTCACAGACACATGTGTCCTGGAGTTCTAGATGGGGAGCGTTCAGAGAGCACTAACCCTGTTGTGATGAGAATTACAAGAGAGGAGCTAAGTCTGGATTGCAGTGGTCAAAACAAAGTTAGACATGCACATAGTTCAGAGGATTTGAAAAGTGTGCAAGAAGATTCCGTTCTGGAGAATAAGGAAATACTGATGAATTCACAGCATGAAGCTGAAATTATTTTGGAAGAGGATGGCCCAACTTCTGATAGCACAGTTGAGAGTAATGATGTTTATGAAACTATAATCAATATTGATGATAAAGGGCAGGCCATGTACAGTTTTGGCCGGTTTGATTCTTCCATAATAAGAATAAGGAACCCTGAAGATGGTGAATTGATAGACCAGTCCGAAGAGGGCCTGATAGCAACGGGAGTGAGAATTAGTGAGTTGCCCTTGAAAGACTGTGCTCAAGATGTGAAAAAGAAGAAACCTGAAGGCAGTTCCTTTGGCGAATCCACACGAATTCGTTGTGATGATTGTGGCTTCTTGGCAGATGGACTGAGTGGTCTGAATGTTCACATAGCCATGAAGCATCCTACAAAGGAGAAACACTTTCATTGTTTATTGTGTGGAAAATCATTTTATACCGAAAGCAACCTTCACCAGCATTTGGCTAGTGCTGGTCATATGAGAAATGAACAGGCCAGTGTAGAAGAGCTTCCGGAGGGAGGGGCCACCTTTAAATGTGTCAAGTGTACAGAGCCCTTTGATTCTGAACAGAATTTATTTCTACATATTAAAGGACAGCATGAGGAATTGCTGCGGGAGGTGAATAAGTATATAGTGGAAGACACTGAGCAAATCAACCGCGAGAGAGAGGAAAACCAGGGAAATGTTTGCAAGTATTGTGGGAAGATGTGTCGAAGTAGCAACTCGATGGCATTTCTGGCTCACATTCGCACTCATACAGGTATGTAGACTCTAGTGAGCCTGTGTTTACCTACAAAGTGCACAGGAATGATAAAGTGTGGATGTTTGTCCTTGTCCAAATATGGAACCCTACTTGCACCTGCTTGCTGACCTTCCACCTAATTCACAGCTCACTGCTATGGTGCTCTGGAAGTCTGTAATAAGTCATTGTTGACACTTAGCATTTCTAAGGGTAAATAAGTTTTAGTGATTCCAAAGGCAGTTTAGTTGACAAGTTTCTTTTAATTTTGTCAAAAAGCCTAGTCACTCTGGTGCCTTCTTTAAAGTCCTGTCTCTTACAGCTTTTCATTTGTTTCTAAATTCTAATTATTTGGTTTTCCAAAGTATTAAGTGGTGTTTTCAGAGGATATATTAAGTGACTTTTGAGGAATGGAATAATATAAGTTTTCTTAGAATTTTTGGAGTTTAAAAATATTCATTGCCAGATACTTTGTATCCATAAATTCCCAGGCAACAAGATTCTACACCTTCAAGGATCAAAATTAGACACCACTTTAAAAAGTTAATATGTACTGGAGATTTGGTTTTCATGGAGGTAGCATCTGATTTAGTTTCTGTGTACCATTTTAATGTCTACCATCAGTGTACCATTTTAGTGTACCATTTTAATGTTTAATTATAGATAGAAATTTAAAAAAACATTTTTTTGTGGAAAATGCATAAGCTACTGTTCTAAATTTATGTAAAAATTCACTGCACTGTTTCTATAAACCTGCCATACATTCTTTATTTTAAATAGACAGCTTTTCTAAATCATTGTGCTCTGCTTAGACAAGTTCTGTCTCCATGGTTGAATTTATGAGTGGATTTGAATAATAAATTCACATTTCAATGAACATATTTTCATTAAAACTGTAAGGTTTATTTTACTGTACTTTTAAATAATGGCTTATTATTGAAGCTATACTTTAAATTCATGCAGTTTTTGGAACTTAGTGCATAGTTACAAGGAGGAAGACAAAAGAGTGTGAAGCATTATTACTACTTTAGGGTGATTAAAGACAGATAAAAGTTTTTTGCTGAAAAAAGTAACAGAGCAACCTGCATAAGATTAATGTAGTAAATATAAACACTGCACTCTTGATCCCAAGTGTTCCCATGCAGTAGAGCCATTTCTGGGGAAGAAGTCCAAACACTTGTTTGCCTTAGTAGTGCCTCTGTCAGTGCCTTGAGGCTGCTCACTTTCTGAAATGGTATTGTTTTAGAAATCAGGCTTGTTCACATGTGCAGGAAATATGTACTTTCTTAATATGCCCTCTTAAGGCAGATAAAACTGAATAAAACTAAGAGGAAGATGCTAATGGAACTCTTTTTAGAATTCTTTATGCAACTGTCTGGTCAAGACATGTTGCTTATAATTGATGTGTCCATTACTTGAATTCTCTTGTAATTATAGTCAATAAGTCTTGTAAATGTGTTAAAGCTCACTAAAAGCATACAAATTCAAGAACAGAGTAAGGCTAATAATTTAAAATAATCAATGTAGGCATTTCAGCACTTAATTTCCCTTGTGTGTTGATAGCTGATCATTCTTAATCCATTAAGATTTATTTAGTCGTTTACAATGCAAAATAGGTTTGCACTGGTCACTTGTGCCATTTGAAAATGTCCACCAGGTTAAGTGCAGAATGTAGTCCATTAGTCTTCCTTGACTATATGTATTAATTGCATTTAAAATCAAGTTAATGTGGATGTGAAAGTGAGGTAACTATCAATATGTGACAAAGTAACCCTACTTATATAAGTTACATCATTGATTGTAACATTTAGTAAAAGTTAGCATACTTTTTTTTTTTAACGTCTTGTGTTGGTCTTATCAGCAAGTACATTTTTATTGTGCTTTGAAGCACCACCAAATGCACTGTTTCTGAGTACACAACACCAGTCCTCCACTTCAATCTTGCAAGCCATTTTTTGGGGGAAGTTGGTCTCTAGGTTTTAATACAGGTTTTTTCTTGGAGCATCTTAAAATGAATTGCTTTTATGCTACTTTGCTTATGTCCATGAAATAGTAATGCAGGGACTGTTATTAATGGTTAACCGGAAAAGGGCTACTCTTCCACCCCTGTTTTCATATTTTGTGATTTGCTATATGTTTTCTTTTATTCATTTGTTTTTGTTTGTGGTTTTGGGGGTTTTTTGTTTTTGTTTTCATTTCTTTTTTCTTTTTCTTTTGCTGCCATATATTTTATATAACATTTTATTTTCCATCCTTAGCATGGTAAAAGCAGCACAATAAGAAATAAATGAGTTTTGGTGATCAAGAATTGTAGGTAAAAAGCATCCCAGAGTTTCTGTCCATTTGCTGGTATAAAGTAATCACCGTTACCAGAGAGAATAGTCTTACCTCTCACATTACCGTAGTAGGACTGAAAAGCTGTTCATTTTCTCTCCTGCATAATTCAGTTAAACCTGTTATTTCACATTAAATGGGATACCTTTAAGCTTCGAGATTATCTGAAGCCATTCATTTTATGTTCAGAGTGCTCTGGTCACTTGGGCCATTTGAAAATACTCACATGGTGGGAGATAGGTAGTGTACAACCTTACTGAAAACTCTAGAGTTAGGACTGGTTGTGTTTGTAACTCAATATGTGACAGTTTAAAAGAGGAACAGATCACTAGTAGAGTTAATTTGTAGAGTTTAAGCACAGTGAGAACAGGGACTCTACTTCCTTCGCTGCTTCATTTCCATGCCCCATGAGTAGTTGGCTCTCAGTGTAGTTTGTTGAATGAGTAAACAAATGAATGAGCAGACGAATGAATGAATGAAGTGTTCAGATGTTTAGGGAGTATTGTAGAATTAACGGTATAGTGGAGAAGCATTAGATGTTGGGTAATATATATCTTACTTTATTCCTTTAAGACCCAAAAGTTTTTGTTTGTTTTTTCCTTTTTTAATGTTAGTCACATTTGTGTATGCATAGCAATTAGTAATGACTGATAGTTGAGGAACACCCCTGTAGGTCTGAGGGAAAATTTAGTTTTTACTCTGTGGAATTCTTTTGGTTAAATCATAAGGTTCCATAAAGTTAGAGAGCCTCTTTAGTTTTCCCCTTTCAAATAACTTCACAGACCAAATTAAAACAAAAAACCTATTGAGTATAATGCTGTTCCAAGGAATGGAACTATTTAAAATAATATTGAAAGTATATAGTAATTAAGATACACCTGAAAAACAAATTTAGAGATATGTACTTTTACAAATTTTGCCTTATAAACGCTATGTCTGGATTCATTTTAGAATGTGCATAGCAAGCTTGAAAACAAAAATGTTATCCGTTAGGAAAAAAGGAGCAGATTTTTTTTTTTTTCTTATATAGAGGAGTATTACCTTCACTAGTATTTGAATTTTTATGACACAGAAAGGAGATGTTAACACAGTCTACTCTGAATACGAGATGAAAAATAGTCAAGACCTCAGTGATTCTGGGTGAAGCAGTCAAAAAAATAACTCATTTGTGTGTTGTCAACATGCTGCAGCAGTGATTACCGACACCTGCAGGAACTGGAGTTTTCCACAGAGGAACCATGCATAATAAATTGAAAACACTAAAGACCCTGTGTCCAGCCCTGAGTGGCATCTGAGCCTCACGAGGAGGAAATAGTCACAATTTAGGTGCTGTGTGCACACAGTGAAAACTTAAAGGCATGAGATGTTTTACATCCATTCAGCAAAATTGTAACACAGATATTGGGAGAGCTTCATCTTTGGAGTCCTGATATTATTTTATTGTTAATTAATAATTTCCTAACTGCCCTATTATCTTTAAAGCATTTAAATTTAAAGTTCAGGTAAATTGGTTCTTCTCACTCTTCTCTTCAAAGTCCCTTTATAGCATTCTGTCTCTCTATGAAATGTTTCAAAGTAGTGATAGGCTTAGTTTTATCAGAATCATTTAAATAAACTGTAGTTTCTAATGTGATTGATAGAATGTGATTGCAGTAAGGTGCAGTCTCAACCTGCTTTTGACATTTAAACATACATACCTTACTAGATATAACCATTCAGGTGCTAAATATATTTTACATCTACTTTTAACGGTAGAAATGGAAGTATTAAGAGATCTGGCTCCATTGTCATTGAACTGTGAAATATTCAACCTTGTCTGCCTGTGCTTTGTACTGTTGACTTTTTTATTTCTGTTGGAAGATTAAAATTAAATGCTTCACTTTTTTTGTCAGCTTTTGGGAATTAAATTGAAATTTAAGACTCAAATTTTTTTTGAGTGCTTCAATTTCAACAAAGTATTCTTGGAGGATTTTTTTCCCCCAGGGCACTGCACAAAGGTTCATTGATCAAATATGATTTATTGCTATTTTAAAATTTGAGCTCTTTTTGTATATTTATTAAAGTTTACATATTTTATATTCTGTCTGACTATATTAGAAGAGGTATTTCACCAAATAGGTACTAAACATGATACGAAAAATCTGGAAATATATTGTTCTGATTTTCAACTTGGTTTTTATGATTTTGACTTATTTATTTGAAGATATAGTAGTTAGAAAATTGGAAAATGGTGTGTGTATTTTATACCTTAAAAGAGTATTGTTTCTCATTAATGGGGATACTGATTATCTATCAGTAAGGGTATTCCAGTTGCAGTCTTATCTATTACTGAAAGTTTGTTGACTTTTAAATAATTTCATCTTCTCATTTTTGAGTATAGTTTAATCTTATTTATGAAATGATTAAAAGTTTTTTTGCTGCTACTATGTCTCTTATGTTGAAATATTTGTTCTTGAAATCAGTAATAACCAAAATGTCACTACTTCTGGTTTGCCGAATCATCACAGATTTTTCACTATAAAATGATCATAAGAGCATAGTAATTTATGTTGTATATTCATAAATTGTGTTATTAGAATAGTGATATAGAGAATCATTTTGAATAAATGTCAGAAAAACATCTTAAATACCATTGTTGATGTGAATAAATTCACTGGAAAAATCTGAGGAAATGAGGAGATGGCCACTGAGAAATGTATTTGATGATATATTCTTTAAAAAATATCAGTTACCCTGTATGCGTTTGTGCTGTAAAAATGTTCCATTTTAAATGTTGAGTGACTTTAAGAGGTATTCTTATGCATTGTCAGAAAAATAAAGTTATTTAGCTCATCTCATCTACTTAGTCCTGTTCAACAGTATCACCTTTGACTGTGTAAGTCTTAGAAATGTTATTGAAAGTTAGAAAGACTCACTGAAACATTAAAGTCTTTTGGGTAGAATAATTAAGGAATAAGGTCTATTCAAGTAATTCCATTTTGGGGACAAATTCTGAATTAGATTAAAGGTATGATTTAAAATTTAGCCCTCTTTTTGAAACTATCAGTAATATACTATGCAAATTCAAATCATATTTTATGTTAAATTTACTCAGGATCAAAACCATTCAAGTGCAAGATATGCCATTTTGCAACAGCTCAACTTGGAGATGCCAGAAACCATGTGAAAAGGCACCTTGGGATGAGAGAATACAAGTGTCATGTCTGTGGGTGAGTAAATTGAAGCCGTCTCTACTTCGTGAACCAGGAAGCATGTGCAGGATGTCCATTGTTTCAGAATTCAAAACCGATATGAGTAAGAGTGGCTAAAATTATGCGTGCGTATCCTCCTTTCCATTGTTATGGTAAATTCCTTAAACACAGTTATGACATTCTTCTCCCACTTCTAATCCTGTACTGAAGATGAGCAATTTTATGGGCTACAAGGTCAATTTGAACCTGTAATCTGTAAATTGACTAAATTATAGGATGTTCATTCACATTGCCAGAGAGAACTATAAATTCCATTTAAAGACATAAAAAATACATAATATAGCTTTAGAAGTATATATGTATTATTGTTCATTCACATTGCCAGAGAGAACTATAAATTCCATTTAAAGACATAAAAAATACATAATTTAGCTTTAGAAGTATATATGTATTATTATTATTATTATTATTATTATTATTATTATTATTATTTGTTTTGCTATGCTGCTTTAATTTTAATCACATTAATGGCTCTTTGGATCCAGTGGATATATTGTATAAGGAAAAAAACAAAAGATTTAATTTCAGACAGCTGGGTACTGATTATCGCAGGGATGATGTGTAAAAAACACAGTGATGCATTTTTGTGTAACTTTGTTTCAAAACTTGTTTTGTTTTTAGTTAATGGTTCTTTTCTCTGAAGAATCATGACAATGTTTAATTGTCATTCAGATGTGTTGCATTTAATAGAAAGCGCTGAGGTTCCTTAATGCAAAACTAATTAATTTAGCAGAAATGTTTAAAAGGTTTTAAAATGCTGTGGCATATATGGTATATCATAAGACATTCGGGGTGAATTTTAATACCCTACTTCTGATTAAAAATATATTTTAATGTTATTATGCTAGAGAAATTAACTAATAAGTGCATCATATAAAAACACTTTATGTGAAACCTGAAAAACCTGCCATTCTTATGGCTAATTCACAGAACACTACAGGTTCAATTAAATTATGAAATGTGCACATGTTATATTACATTTCTTTTTTTTTTTGTAGAAGATTCTTCTGGTTGATACTACCATGTGAATATCTTTTAAATCAAGAAACCAGATTCTGCTTTTTGTTGGACAGTATTTTATCTCAGGATGCAGCTGCATTTTTTGACCCTTAAGATAGTTTTACAAATAACTTTGAAAGCAGTTTTATTAGCCATGGTCTGTGATTTATTCATTGGCAGAATTGATGGTTCAGTGACTTGCAGCTAAAGTAAATGAAGATGAACCTTTGCCCTAAAGCCCCCTGAAGATTAGTGGGAGAATGAGTTTTGTTACTACTGATTTTAGCTGCAAGGGTCAGGTGCCAAATGGTTCATTTTAATTGCTATAGGTCTAAGAATTTTAAAAGATATCTCATTTATCGTTTTTTACTGTATTAGTTACAGGAAAGATGACTCCATTGAAAATTTGCTTAGGTGGTAGTAAGCAGTTTCTTCTTCATTTCTAAGAAATAAGTAAACAATTTTTATATATTGTTAATAAACATCTAATTCCATTTTTTAAATTAGGGTTACTAAGACCCTAGGAAGAGAAGAAATTTTTTCAGAGAACAGTTTCTGACAAATATGGTATCAAAACAATACATAATCAATTGGCTTTAATTGTATAATTTGAACAGTGAACAGTTTGCTTAGCTAATTGCTTACCATGTACAACTGAAATGTTGTACTAGTATTTTATATGTTTGACTCCCAAGATACAGAATTTAAAATAAATATATATATATTGAGTTTTACACTGCTTTCATAGAGAGCTACATGTATGTGTAGGCATAGAAGAAACATTCTAGATTCCAAAATTGTATTTCTTAGAATTATAATAGCCGTTGAGTTTCATCTGACTATGAAATGATAGTTCTCTCTCTCTCTTTTTTTTTAAATGACATTTGATTTAGAAGTTACATAGCAATAATTTTAACAGGGTAGATATTTTTACATTGAGGCTAAAAGTTATAAAGAATTGCAGTAAACCAAAGAATACCTATTGATATTTGTAGTTGAAATAGAACAGTAATGAATTAGGTCATTTCATGTTAAAGAAAAAGTATCATAGGTGTTTCTGTATTTCATGTGTTTCAAAGGGATAGGGCAGTATGTAGGTTAAAAATTAAAGTGGAAAACATAAAAAATGCCAGGATTGGCTATCAGATTAGTGGCACTAGAGAGCATTGGTACATTAACATCACTGACAATGTCAATTCATTATCATTGATGGCTAAATAATCTTAGAAATGCTCAGTGGACCTATTAGTTCCTGAACATAAGCAGCTCATGCTGCATTTCTTCATTAGCTTTAATTGCTATAAATTTTACCTTTTACAAAATCATGCTTTAAAAGGTGAAGTGATCTTTCAGGAACATTAACTCCATAATTTTGTCACAAACAGAAGGTCCTGCACTATGTTTTCTTTTCTCCAGTAGTTAATATCCTAGTCTTTTAGGATTTTGTTAATGTCCTCTTCATTATTTGAGTTGTAAGAAGTTATTTCTAAAATAGTCCTGATCAAATAATAATATACATAAAAATATTGGGGCAGGCACATTTTTAGTGAAATTATTACTCACAATTCTATACTCTTTTTTTTCTTAGTAACCTGTTGGTTTTCTTGAAGAAAAAACTGATATTTTATGGTGAAATTGATGGAAACAACAAACAATATGTTTTATTGAATTGTACTCAATATTAATGTTTCAGATTACTTGTAATTGTTTGAACTCTTTAAAAAATATCTTTATATATCTTTATATAAGATTGTAAATGCTCATCAGGTATGTATTTGTGTCTTCCACTAAGATTTAGTTTTAGCATTTTGCATTAGCAACTCCCTTATCAAAAACTGCCTTTTAAACTTGTATGTAAGTTGTGTGGACCTATCATCAGGTATGTATTTGTGTCTTCCACTAAGATTTAGTTTTAGCATTTTGCATTAGCAACTTCCTTATCAAAAACTGCCTTTTAAACTTGTATGTAAGTTGTGTGGACCTGTTGATTTTCTTTGAATCTTCGAGATCAATTTTAAGATATCTTCCCCCGCCTACCATCGGCAAATCTTAGCTGCAGTATATCATGGATTTAAGTGGACAGAAGAATATGAACGTATTGGGTGTCTTAATTTCTATTAGGTAGTTAGGATTCAGAATTTATGTTTTAAATTTTGTTTACCTAATGTTTAACTGCTCATGTCATGGTAAAAATTTCAAAATTTTATCGCTTTGCACTTCATGTTTTAAGTGCGTGTTACAGACAACTTCATTTAAGAGCCATTTATTTTACTTTCACTTTTAGGAGAAGTAGTTTTTTGAATAATAGAGTTTCTTAATAATGTTTTTCTTACATCTGAGTGTGATCTAGAGGGGAATTTTATAGAATATAGGCATATTTATATTTAGGTTCTTGATGGATAGTTAACATGAAAATCTACTATGGGTCTGACATAAGACTTAGTGGGAGAGAAAGTAAGAAATAATAGGAAGCATCCCTATATAGAAGTTAATAATTTTATGTTTAAAAAATAGGCCAAATACATATTTAGTAAAAAAAAAAAAGTTTCCCTGTATTTTTTCAGTAGTCAAGAACTTGAAAATCTCAGTGGCTTAAAAAGTCATTTTAGACACCATGTTTTGTTAAATTCTTTTAAATTTATTTTAGTTCCCTGTGTATGCATTTATAAAATAGTATAATAGTAATAGTATTTATGCAGTGCTTTGTGGTTTAGTAAATGCTTTGATTAACATTTACTCTTTTAAATTTATTTTAGTTCCCTGTGTATGCATTTATAAAATAGTATAATAGTAATAGTACTTATGCAGTGCTTTGTGGTTTAGTAAATGCTTTGATTAACATTTACCTCATTTATTAATCTCTACAGCTTTATGAGATTGTTTATCTCATGTTTATTATACCCATTTTACAGATGGAGAACTTCAGATTCAGAGTGTCTTTAGTGCGGTACTTAAATTATGCAGCTAGTAATGGTGGACCACTGTTTTTCTTCCCTTAACTGTCCCTTTCCTTTATTTCTCTGCTTTTTGTAATATTGGTTTTTGGGGGGTTTTTTGTTACTGACTTAATTTGTACTTATTTTTTCTCTCTAGGTTGTTTTCACTAGCATGTTATAAATGTAACTTATCTACTTCCTTCCACCAGCCACTTTTATTTTCTGCTTTTGCTCAGGTTTACGTTCTTTTAAAAAATTGTTTGCACAGTGTTTTACTTTCATATTCAGTCTCTCTCTGTCCTGTTTCACTCACTTATAAGTGTTGTTTTAAATAATGTTATTCTTTTTCTCCACTCTCCTTTGTGTGTTGATAACTTATTGCATTTAATTGAGTAGTTACAAATAGAACATGTTTTCATAATAGAAATAAGTGCCTGAAAATGTGGAGAATATTATAGCATCTTTTTATTAGGGTGAGGGGTAGAATTGATCAACTTGGGTTATTGTTTTTTTCTTTCAGTGCTAGTTATTTTAAAAGAGTTATAGAAAACTAATAATTGGCCTGTGACTTCAGTAAACCTAGGAAATGACACCTAAGTTTTGTATGTCATTATTCAGAAGTGTAGACTTCAGTGTGCATGATTACAGATTATATTGTTTACGGACTAATTTCCCTATGTCTAATTTTGATCCTTGTGTATGGAGTTAAATAGTTGAATTGAATTTACCTAATCAGGAGAGGTTAGGTATTTTCTATATCCGTCACCTCCGGATTCATACAAAGATTCCAGACATTTTAAAATTGAGTATTAATGTGCTTATGAACTGTTTATTTCTAGTTGGCTTAAGAAACCTTAAATAGAAAGTTACTAATGCTGTAAAACTCTTTTGTGTGTGTGTGTGTGGCATTACCTAGTTTTTGTGCATTAGAAGGGATCTCTATGTAGATGATTATAATGTCACTTTCTGACCTTTGCAGCTTGAATAATTGTAAATCATTGCTTCATAACGTGTCACAGAATG